TGTTTTGCGAGCTACTGGCATTGAAGTTGTGAGCGAGCGGTTTGGCTCCTGCATAAATCAGTTTGCTCTGGAGCCATCCCTTCCCGAGCTAAGACGAAAATGTGTGAGTCGGAGGCTAGAAAACTGTGAGCTGGCTCACACTCACTCAGCTTAGAGGGAACACTGCTCACAAAGGTGACTGTTGTGTGGAGGGGAAGGGAGGGCGATTGTGAGCTACTTTGAGACTCCTTAAAAAGTAGAGAAAAGCAGGGTATAGAAACCTATTCTTCTTCTTTCTCTTTGATAATCTGTGTTCCTTCAATCTTCTATTATTTTGCCACTTCTTGTTTTCCTTTGGGGGGGGCACAGGGTGTGTATGTGTGTGCGTCCGGCTGCCTTTGCCTTTTGGGGGAGGGGCTGTCTTGCCAGAGTCCAGCTGCTTATCACTTACCCGGCATTAGGCATCTGCAAAAGCCTTTCTGGTGTTTGGGCTCAAAACAGCCCTGTAGGGTAGGATGGTACGCCCAGGGCTGTGTGGACTCTGCCCATTTCCCCTCCCCAGGCCCTGTTTCCAGACCGGTCAACTCGTCTGGCTTTGTCAAAAGCGTCGATGAGGATTGACTGAGCAAGACAGCGTGCCATCTGTCGAGTCAGACCACTGATCCGTCTGGATCCTCAGACAGGCAGGGATCCAGGCACCTTCCCTCCCCCGGTGCCGCGGAGGGGTGGGTGGGTGGGCTGCACAGCAGGACAGGGAAGAAGCAACAGGACTGAGGGAGGGGCTGTCTTCAGTCCATTTCTTTTTTAGAAAGGCAACAACTGGAGTTCCCATGGCCAGCTGTGGCTTTCATAAAGGGGTGCAAAGCCTGTGAGAACACACTCAGAAGACAGAAGTCATCTGTGTTCGGTGATCCGGAGCTCTCGCTGGCAACAACAGACCGCTGGACTTGGTATTCTTTGCCAGGGAACATATAGATGGTCCGCCCGAATTCGTCCACCAGTGGATCTTGAACACATGAAGTTGCCTTTTGTTTGTTTATTTATTTATTTCGATTTCTTAACCGCCCTGCCCCGCTTTTGCGGGGCTCAGGGGGGTTTACACCAGCATAAAACCCAATACAGTTTTTAAAACCAGTTAAAACAACAGAATTCGAGATAAAAGCGTTCAGCATAAATATTTAAAACACTTTAGAAACGAGAGGGCATTTCTAGCGTTCAGATTTCCATGGCGTGGGGAGGGGAGGGGAGTGTGCCGGGCAGATGCAAGGGGACCGTCGCCGGCCTCAACCAAAGGCCTGGCGGAACATCTCTGTCTTGCATGCCCTGCGGAGCTTCAGTAGATCAGACAGGGCACGGTTGTCGTTTGGCAGAGAGTTCCACCAGGCTGGGGCCAAGGCTGGTGGAGGCCAGCCGGATATCTTCGACTGAATCAGACCCTGGGTCCACCAAGGTCAGTACTGCCTCTTAGGCTGGCAGCTGTTCTCCAGGGTCTCAGGCGGAGGTCTTTCACATCACCTCCTGCCTGGTCCTTTCGACTGGAGATGCCGGGGACTGAACCTGGCACCTTCTGCATGCCCAGCTGGTGCTCTCCCATTGAGCTACAGCCCCTCCCCATAAAGCTGACTTTTTACTGAATCAGACCCTGGGTCCACCAAGGTCAGTACTGCCTCTTAGGCTGGCAGCTGTTCTCCAGGGTCTCAGGCGGAGGTCTTTCACATCACCTCCTGCCTGGTCCTTTCGACTGGAGATGCCGGGGACTGAACCTGGCACCTTCTGCATGCCCAGCTGGTGCTCTCCCATTGAGCTACAGCCCCTCCCCATAAAGCTGACTTTTTACTGAATCAGACCCTGGGTCCACCAAGGTCAGTACTGCCTCTTAGGCTGGCAGCTGTTCTCCAGGGTCTCAGGCGGAGGTCTTTCACATCACCTCCTGCCTGGTCCTTTCGACTGGAGATGCCGGGGACTGAACCTGGGACTTTCTGCATGCCAGGCAGGTGCTCTTCCACTGAGCCACAGCCCCTCTTCACAGCTCTCCAGGGTCTCAGGCGGAGGTCTTTCACATCACCTCCTGCCTGGTCCTTTCGACTGGAGATGCCGGGGACTGAACCTGGGACCTTCTGCATGCCCAGCTGGTGCTCTCCCATTGAGCTACAGCCCCTCCCCATAAAGCTGACTTTTTACTGAATCAGACCCTTGGCCCATCAAGGTCAGTGTAGTCTACTCAGGCTGGCAGCCACTCTCCAGGGTCTCTCAGGCAGAAAAAGGTCTCTCACATCACCTCCCGCCTGAACCTTTCAGCTGGAGATGCTGCCAGGGATTGAACCTGAAACCTTCCACCTGCTGGGCAGATGCTCTGCCCCTGAGCCATGGCCCCTCCCCTTCCGCACTCCCGGCTTCCCTTCTGTACAGGAAGAGATGCTCTTGTGCCAGAGGGAGGGTCTAAGAAAGGAATCAGAAGGAAAGGCCTGGTGAAGCAAAGAGCAGGAGCCCATCCACCGCCAAGCCCCCTGGCATCTTGCACAGGGTAGATGCTGAGCCGGTGATTTACAGGCATGGCGGAATGTGTGTGGCAGAACTTGGCAAACGGACTGGGCACGGTGCCTTTCCAGGTGGAAGGGGCCAAGTCCTTCTCCAGCCAGCCTCTCTTCCTGCTCTCCGAACGCTCTTCGGTGTCAGCTGTGCTGCCATGGGGGTTGGGGAGTTCATTCTGTGTCTTGGTAATTGCTATTGCATTCCTGTCTCTGCTGTTCTGCCTGTGCCGCAATGCTTATCTCTACAGATGTGCAGGAGGAGGTTGTGTTGTCTGGAAGTCTCCTATGTACCGTGAGAGACTACTGCTTCCCAGCTTTTGCCACCTAACGGTTTCCTAGCTGGTCCCGCGCGCGGGAGGGTAGCTAATTGGCCCATGCCATGGGGGGGGGGTGCATACGAATGCCCTATATCCTATTATGCTCAATGGGTTGCTGCCATTCTTAACAGTGCCTGTGCTACTGCATCTATAGCTTTGCAATAAAGGTGTAACCGTTCCTGAATGCGTGTACTTCGTTGTAAGCTGTGGGTTCTGACAGTGGGGAGCTGAGTAGAAGGATCCTAACAACCAAGAACCTTGACGTGGGTGGCATAAGGTACTGCTAGAGACAGTGTGGTGCAGTGGTTACAGTGTCAGATTAGTATCTGGGAGGCCCAGATCTGAATCCCTAGTCTGCCATGAAAACTTGCTGGGTGACCTTGGGCCACTCACACATCCTTGGCCTGGCCTACCTCACAGGGCTGTTGCAAGAATAAAAGGGAGACAGGGAGAAGGAGGTGAGCTGCTTCGGGTCACCATTGGGGATGTGCATTCGGTTCAGACAAACCGACAAACAAAACGAATAACGTCTATTTTTTGGGCCTGCCGAAAGCTGAATCAGATTCTCTAATCTGATTCGGCTAGCCGAACAGGGATTCCCCAAATGGATGCGGTATATTCAGCATCCATTCGGGGAATCCCTTTGCTGGGTGAGGAAGGGAAAGTGTTTAAACTTAAAACACTTTCCCTTGCTTCTGGGGTTGGTGCCGCTTCTCGGAGTGACTCCCCGGCCAAGGAAAGGTATTTAAAGTTTTAAACGTTCCCTTTTTGGGGAGTCGCACTGCGAAGGCAGCACAAGACCCAAAAGCAAAGGAAAGTGTTTTAAATTTAAACACTTTGCCTTCCCCCTGCTCTGGAGTTGTGCTGCAGAGGGGACACTCTCCCTTCATTGAAGGGAAGGCAATTTGTCTTCCCTTCAGTGATGGGAACCGCCCCCCCCTTCAAGGGGGAGATTATTATACCCAATGGGGACAGTCTGAATTGAGCCGAATAATTGAGCCGAATAAATTCAGCTAGTCCGATAATCCCCGAACCCCAGTATCATACTGATACTGGGATTCGGGAATATCTGCAAATACCAAAAATTTTCGGGTTCAATAGATTCAAATCCAGAAAATTCCAATTTTTTTTGGGGGGGTGCACACCCCTAGTCCCCATTGGAACTAGAAAGGAAGTTGTTGTTGTTCAGTCGCACAGTCGATTCCGACTCTTCGCGACCCCATGGACCAGATCACGCCAGGCCTTCCTGTCTTCCACTGTCCTCTGAAGTTTGCTCAGTTTCATATTCGTTGCATCTATGACACTGTCTAGCCATCTCATCCCCGTCTTCTTTGACCTTCAGTCTTTCCCAGCATCAGGGTCTTCTCTAGTGAGATCTCCCTTCTCATTTGGTGGCTAAAGTATTTGAGCTTCAGTTTCATTATCTGGCCTTCCAGGGAACAGTCAGGGTTGATTTCTTTTAGGATTGACTGAAACGAAGTAAATAAAGAAAAATAAGACTTGCCGTTAGTCGTCTGGGCACCAGATTGGGGCTTCCGTTAGTCGTCTGGGCACCAGATTGGGGCTTCCACTTGCCTGCTACTCACAAGTGGCCTAGTGAGCCAGAGGACCCACATTTCCATTTTATCTCACTGGGGGCCAAACTAAACACTGTTTTGTTTGTAGGTTGGGCCTGTGGGCGCGAATGCCATTTTAGAGCTGAACTCGTCCATTTCAAAATGCATGCATACGAAAGCCTCTACCCAGAATAAAACTTTGTTGGTCTGAAAGGTGCCCCTGGACCAGTGTTCCCTCTAAGCTGAGTTAGTGTGAGCTAGCTCACAGTTTTTTAGCCTCTTGCTCACACATTTTTGTCTTAGCTCAGGAAGAAGGGCTCCAGAGCAAACTAATTGATGCAGTAGCCAAATCGCTCGCTCACAAGTTTAATGCCAGTAGCTCACAAAGTAGAGTTTTTGCTCACAAGACTCCACAGCTTAGAGGGAGTATCGCCCTGTAATCAAACTTTGTTCTGTTGCTTCAGACCAACAGGGCTACCCCACCTGAATCTATCTGTGAAGTTCTTTGTTCTGCATGCCCGGGGAGGGGCCCCGTTATTTTAGCTCTGGCCCACTCCATCTCTGCGGCATTTCTGCGACCCTCCGGTTTAACTCCGGCTGCCCTTCTCTCCTTGCAGTGTGCATGTACAGAGAGCCTTCGCTGCATGAAATCGGAGAGAAGCAAGTGCGCTCCAGGAAAAGCTCGGGGACGCCCACCATGAATGGAGGCAAAGTCGTCAACCAGGACTCCACATAGCTGAGAGAAGAGCCACCCGCCCCTGCATCCGACTTCTCCCCAGCCCGCCCGCTCGCCCGCCAGACCACCCACGGAACCCTCACGGAGACAGCAGCGAGAAACTGACCAAGGCAGGAGCTTCTAGTAGCGGCTAAGATTCTGAACTCAACCCTTTCCTTTGTGTAGGATGAGGAGATCTTGCCTGTTGCGACGTTTTAGAGTACAGTTACACACATACAAACACGTACACAAAGCGAAAGGGGGGGGGAACACCACCGCCTATTTTCAATCCGGACTCCATTAACATTTTAAAAAAACAACAGCAAAACTGTTTGCTCTTGTGATCGAGGGGGGGGGGAGACTGTCCATCTCTGCATAAAGATTATAATAATAAATAAGTAAATATCTAACAATAATAATAATAAAGGATACTAATAATAAAGGTGTTATCTTTAAAAAAATAAAAGAGAGATTTGCTTTTGGAGAATTGAACTCCGTTGGTGATGTGGACGCGAATGCAAATAATGCTGGCGTGAAAGTGGGGGCTGTGTGGGTGCGAGATGTAACGCTCCATTACTCAGCATCATTTCCCGTAGGTGAGCTTTCTAAAATCAGAATGTTCTGCTGACACCTCTGGATGCGCGACAGGGAGCCTCGGTTCCATCTCCTCACAGGCCGCCTTTTCCTTCCGTGTGTCTGTCTGTCTGTCTGTCTGTCTGTCCTTGCAGTCATATCCAGGCTTTAAGTGAGTATCTCATGCACAGGCAAGCCCATTATAGTCTGGGGGCTGTTTTCCAAGCCTCTGCAGCTGCTTTAGGATTTGCCAGAATCAATGGCTACTCTTAGCTAGTGGGCTGAAGGTTAAAAGATTTTTTTTTAATAGTTTGAGCTGCAAGTGGAATTCAGAAGACCCCCCGAGTGATCAGGCAGGTAGCCGTGAGGGCGCCGTTCCCTGCACCATTACTTGCTGATCACCCGCACCGAAGCAGCAGCAGCGTCCGTGCTGAGAAGCAACTTGTATGTTGCACGGTTGTATAATTCCCTACTTATATCTGATGAAGGGAGCTTTGGCTCCCAACAGCTTATACCCTGGAGATCTCCCAGGCTGGTCTTCCAAGGGGCTCCTGGATTCAGATCCAGCTGATAAGCCAAGAGGTGGGCTCTCCCCCTTTGGAGGTTTTCAAGCAGAGGCTAGATGGCTAGATGACAGCAGTGCTGATTCTGTGAATTTGGGCAGATCACGAGAAGGGAGGTCAGGAAGGGCTGCACCAGTGCTTAGTTCTCGTGACCCTTTCTTGCAACACGCACAGGGAAAAGCGGATCGCCACTTTGGGGGTCAGGAAGCTGTTGTTCTCCAGGCCAGGGATCCTGGAAGTTTGTTTTTGCTTTTTTGCCCTCTTCTGGGCATGGAGCAGGGGTCACGGGGGGCGTGGGGGGCGGGGTATTTGTGAATTTCCTGCCTTGTGCAGAGGGTTGGACTAAGATGACCCTTGGAGGTCTGTTAAACAGTGGATTTAACACGGCAGAGGCGAAGGCAGGGTGATTTCGGCAAGCAGCAGTTTATTGCATCTCGACAGGAGTGCTTTATATGGGGCAGCTGCCCTGGCTATGTACACCGAAGCCACTCCCAGCCGCCATGCGATTGGTGAGTTTGAATGGCCTCCAGACTCCAGATTGGCTGGCTGCCCCCAGGGGCCAATCCGCAGGCAGGTCCCAGGATCCTGCCTGCCTTTGTTCTGGGGCTTCAAGCTCCAACTAGGTGGCCTGCCCAGACAAGCTCAGACATGCCTCCCCACGCTCCATCTCAGCGGCCTGCCAGACCAGCCCAGGCATGCCTACTTATGTCCAGACATAACAAGGTCCCTTCCAACTCTATGGTTCTATGTTAGCTGCAAGAGCAAATGGGATATGTGGCCAAAAGGGGCCTTTCTTCCCTGGGCAGGGCTCCCAAGTACTTACCTGAGGTCCTGTTCACACGAGGCAATTTGGCCCGGGAGCAGGACAGTTCGGGGGCGGATCAAACCAGCGCGATCACACCACAACATCTGGGAAGCGTCGTGCTTCCGCCCCCGAACTGGACCTTCCCGGGAAAAAGCGCCTCAAGTTGACACCACCTACCTCGGTGGTTCAACGAGTAGACGCGCTGCAATCCGGGCGTCTGATCGCCGGCGCTCCCTTGCGCCGGCACACTCCCGGCCCGGAGCCGAACTGCGCATGCTCCAACATGCGCAGTTCGGCCGGCACCCGGTCTGAGCCATGTCTTCTCCCCGGCGTTTGATCGGGCCGGGGAGAAACGGCGCCACAGCCAGGGGATCCGTGGGATCCCGCCGCGGCGCCTCAATGTTGGCGCGGCTTTTAAACGCCGCGCCTCAAGAGGCTTTTTTCCTGTCGTGTGGCAGGGGCCTTAATTCGGCAGGGGATGTATAGCTCTTTGCGGGACCATTCCTGCGGGGAAAACACAGGCGCTGCACTATTCCGTCGCCCAGATGTGACGTAGGCACGTAGCCGGGTGACACTCTAGCAATGGGGCTGGAAACTCGATTGCACCATCAAGTTTCCAGTCCCATTACCAGAGCGTCGCCCAGCTACATGCCTACGTCACGTCTGGGCGACGGAATAGTGCAGCGCCTGTGTTCCAAGCAAGAATATTCCAGCGGGGAAGCATGTGTCCCCCGCTGGATCGTAGGTAGGTACTTGGGAACCCTATCCCTGGGGTTTTTGGTAGAGGCTGGTGGGTGTTTGTGTGTGTGTGTGTGGGATCTGCTAGCCTCCAGATTATGTTTGCCCCCAAGTGGGGCCGGCAATGGTGCCACCTACCCTCAGGCCCTGCTCTGAGCCATTCTGCCTGCCCTAGAGGGCACCATGTCTGTCACAGGGCTGCGTGCCCTCCTGAAGTTTATTTACAAATCCAGTGATGAACGTCCAGGTGACACTCGGTCGTTTAATGTTGGCCCTATCTCCAGCAATTGTGGTTTCAGCCTCAGCCTTGGACAATTGAAACATACCTTGTCGTTTTATCATAGATGAGTGCTAAACTGGGCACACACAACCCCATGAAAACATCACACCACGGCTGTACGCCCGGCTGTGGCCTTCTCCCCTCACAAAGGAACAGTTTTCATCTGGGAAAGTGGAGGGGGGAAATTGGGGAGGCGGTTCCTAGAAACCCCCTCCCTTTTCCCATGAATATGCCTCAGTGACATAAGAAGAACTTAAGATGGACCCAGTGGTCCATCTAGTCCAGCCTCCTGTCTCACACAGCGACCAACCAGTTCCTTTGGAGGGCCAACAACAGGGCACAGAGGCCAAGGCCTCCATAAGGACATCAGAAGAGCCCTGCTGGATCAGACCAGAGAGGGTCCATCTAGTCCAGCATCCTGTCTCACACAGTGGCCAGCCAGTTCCTCTGGAGGGCCAACAACAGGACAGAGAGACCAAGGCCTTCAGAAGAACATCAGAAGAGCCCTGCTGGATCAGACCAGTGAGGGTCCATCTAGTTCAGCATCCCATCTCACACAGTAACCAACCAGTTACTCTGAAGGGCCAACAACAGGGCATAGAGGCTGAGGCCTTCATAACAATATCAGAAGAGCTCTGCTGGATCAGACCAGTGGTCTATCTAGTCCAGCATCCAGTCTCATACAGCGACCAACCAGTTCCTCTGGAGGGCCAACAGCAGGGCAGAGAGGCCAAGGCCTTCACAAACATCAGCAGAGCCCTGCTGGATCAGACCAGTGAGGGTCCATCTAGTCCAGCATCCTGTCTCACACAGGGGCCAACCAGTTCCTCTGCAGGGCCAACAAAAGGGCACAGAGGCCAAGGCCTCCCCTGTTGAGGCCTCCTGGCACTGGCATTCATAGGTTGACTGCCTTTGTATGTGGAGTTTCCATTTAGTCACCATGGCTAGTAGCCACTGATAGACCTCTTCTTCATGAACCTGTCTAATCCCCTTTTCAAGCTGTCTATGCCTGTGGTCCTCACTACATCCTCTGGCAGCGCATTCCACCATCACTCATTGAGTGAAGTAGCATTTGCTTTTGTCTCTCCTGTACCCACTGCTTCTCAATTTCATTTGGTGCCCCCAAGTTCTAATATTATGGGGGGGAGAAAGCTCCCTCTATCTACTTTCTCCACCCCAGCCATAATTTTAAAAAACTCTTATTATGTCTCTCCATAGCTGTCTTTTTTGCTCCGCTAAGAAGTCCCAGGGTCTCCAGTCTTTCTTCATAGGGAAGGCTGCCCTCTTCTGTACGTTTTCCAGCTCTGTGGTGTCCTTTTTTGAGATATGGTGACCACAACTGCACACAGTATTACCAAATGGAGCAGTGTCATGGGGCTATACAAGAGTGTTATGCTGTTGACTGTACTGTACTGAGTCCCTGCATGGATTTCCCCACTGCCACACATAAAGACAGTGGCCCCGGTCACTGGTGACCGCCAGTTGAAAGGGACTGCGATTAGGGTGAGGTATTGCAACACGATGGCTCAGACGCTGAGCTGCAGACCGAATGGTCTGGAGTTTGGCAGTTCGAGACCAGAGTGCCGCATGATGGAGTGAGCGCCCGTCTCTGGCCCCAGCTCCTGCCAGCCTAGCAGTTTGAAAGCAAGAAATTGCAAGTAGATAAATAGGTACCATTTCAGTGGAAAGGTAACAGCGTTCCGTTCGCCTCGGCATTTAGTCATGCTGGCCACCTGATTACGGAGAAGTCTTTGGACAGCGCTGGCTCTTTGGCTTGGAAACAGAGATGAGCACCGCCCCCTAGAGTCAGATTTAACTGGCTTTTGAGCAAGGGAAACCTTTACCTTTATTGGAACTGTCATGGCTCAGGTGGGGTGTCACCTTTAGGCTGAATAACAGGCGTGAGGACCAGGCAGAGTGAAACAAGGAAAAAGGTTTGTTTTATAGGAGGTCAAACAACAAGGTGCAGAATAATAACAGTAGGTGGGTGAAAAGAAAAGAAATCAAATGCCCTAACGCATCTAAAAATATACTGTCCCTAGCTTGCTATTCCAAGTGGCACTAGACTACTCACCCTTCCCTCAGGATGAGGGTCTCTCCCCTGCAGCAGCCTTCCTTCTGGCTCAGCCCTCTGGAAGAAAGAACAGCTTCTGCTCTGGCACCAGCTCTTTTGTTCCCCAGCCCTCTTCTTCCCTATTGGTCAATTTTGGCTCCAAAACCTCTCAGGGGCTTCTGGGAGTTGTAGGCCCAGCCTCACCTACTGCTAGCCAGGCTCCCTGGGCCTAGTAGGTCTCTGGTGGCACAGCCCAGATCATGACAGCAACACAGCCCTTTGAGGCTAGATTTCAGTTGAACATTAGGAGACACTTCTCTCGTTTGGGCAGAGTTC